GCGGTATGTAGAGCTCTAAGAGGACAAAGAACTGCTGGAGACCTCCCATTGGGAGCCCCCGTGCTCCGTGCCCACCGAATATTACCGACAACCGCGTGCTCGCGGCTGTGACCAGCGAAGAACAAGGACACTTGCGAGAAATCTGTTATTTTCGGAGCCGCGGCACCGACGAGACCTTTCTGGTACCCGGGACCCACCGAGCACGACGAGACTTACGATATCGACTCGGGCGACCACGGTCAGTATGTCGAGTTAAGATTTGCTGCTGACCTGGCCAAGGTCGTTCCATCAGATTACGCAGCGTCCAAGTAACCACAATTCGCGTATATGTTTCGGCAGCAGCTAAAAGAGCTGCGGTTGCCAAGGAAAACGACCTCCTGGCGAAGGCAGACATGCAAGCCTACCCGACGAACATATCTAAAAGTTTGCGCGCTGAATTTGACATATGGTATGCCAGCAAAAGTGACAGGACGCAAGGCGCCAATACTGCTACCAGCATGACGACCTCTAGATACGCGTACAAGTGAAGTTCGCCGAAAACGGCACAGGCAAAATGGAACGAACGATGCGATTGCGTCTTACTCTTCGTGGCTTTATGGACGTTGAAGCATTCGACGTGGAAGCCTTCTCAGGCGCAGCTCGTCGAGAAGGCCAGAGATGGCTCGCCGGCGCGGCTGGGTGCGCGAAACAGTGGATCCTGGCATCCATGGACATCGATAAGGCTTTCTTGAAGGGTTTGACTTGCCGTGGGCTGGCAGCCTCGGTGCTACGTGCGCTGCCTAGCTTCTCGTCATATGACGAGTTCAAGCATTGTCTTCAGTGCCCTAGACCAGGCACAGGCGCCACAGACGCCCCTAGGGCATTCTCACAGATGCTCAGAACCATTACCCGAGGATTCGGGCTAACACTCACGGCGTGTGATGTACATGTTGAGACAAACCCAAACCAAACCTCCTAACAACCGAGCACGTTGACGACGTCAACATGGCAGGAGTGGAGGACACGATTGACAAGTGCGCCAAATTTGTAGAAGGGACTTTCGGCGCATGCGAGACAAACGCTGTTACGTCAACTGCGCCGTACCAAACGCGATGACCAAGGGCGGCTACGTCTGGCTGCATTGAGATAAGTACATCAAGCAGCTTCGCCCGATGCAACATCCAGAACTCACGGGTGATGTAGCGCAAGATAAAGCAACGAATGCCGCGTCCGACATGTTCATCACTTTGCGTGGCGCCTTGGCGTGTGAATTGATCACTCAGGTGCGGTTGCTGGTGCGCGTGGTATCCATGCAACCTGCATAGGAACCATTTGCCTCCATGCGCGGGGACTCTTAACTGTGTCGTGCGCAAACTTCAGCAAGGTCCAAAGACATCAGCATTTCAACTTGTGACTCCGACAGGAGAAGTGGACCTCCATAGTGACTCAGGATACCGTCGCCTCAATGGGGGCGAAGATGACGAAGTGCAAGGATATATCATGCGATCCGAGGAGCCAACCGCTTACTGCCCGGGCGCGCGCCCGATGGCAAGGCAGTAGTGCATCTGATTGATGCGCGCTGCAAGCCGCATCGCTTGCAGGTTGTTTTCAGCTCTTTAGCTGAAGCACTGGCAGCCGCTCATAATCTTGAGGACTGCGACTCTACCATATTTGCGCTACATGAGCTCAGAGCCAGAGCCCTGCGGCTCACTCAGCATGAGAACATTCTGGAATCCGGTCGTCTCGGCATTTAAGGCCATCCTTACTATAGACACTGAGTCGGTCTTTAAATCGTTGTCAAGTAAGGACTCGAAGAAACCTTCCGAACGCGCCCTGCTGAGGCAAATCAGTTGTCTAACGCAGAGTGGGCCGAGGTGTAGTTCATGGCGTGCAGTGGTGAGATGCGCGAGATGCGACCTCTGGCGGCCATGCCAAGGGGTGCATCGATCGTGCGTTACTGCTGCAAGGGATGGAAGGCAATCAGTCCTTGAAGTACGAAGTAAGGAAGAACATGCCCTATCGAGGCAAGAAGGACACCGCCAACGTAGGGGCGCCCTATTCAGGGCCGGCGGATGCCAATGAGGACGACCACCCAATGTCAGACAAGTAGTTATCTTTGCCCGGACACGGGCATGCGCGCCTGCAACGTGGTTCATTTCGCCCGGCCACGACCATTGACACCCATAGTTTCGCACCTACCACGAGTGCCCAGACACGGGCACTATTCTTTTTTTTTGGTTGTGGGGGGGGAGTCCGACCGCTTGGTCATATCCCTTCGCATGCCGCGCGCTCTGACGTCTTGCATTTGGCCAGTCGTTCCCCTTCATCATTTGCGGATGGTCAAGCAGTCTTGTCCGCGGCCACCCATAATTATCACATCTGCGGCTGGACGAGGGGGCCCGCCCGGGCTCGGCCCTAATACTCCGTGCTGGTTATTATTTACTTGCCTGTGTGTTGTTGGTGGTGTTGAAAAACAAAATCCCCATTTTTCCTCTCCACTTAATACCATTTACTATGACTAGGATCTAGCGTTTGCCCCCCTTTTCCGACTTTTGAACGAGGCTTAAGAAGAGGCTGCGTAGCGAGCGCTATATCCGACGCTGTCTTGGGCCAAGGCAGCGCTGTCCTATATGCCAGTTGCACGACTGAATGCGGCTCTATTTGCGGCGCTTAGCAACGGACAAAAGCCACGTCTTTTTATGATCCATCTTCCATTGCCAAGGATCAAGGGATGAGTTGTTGGATACTTCGGTACGTCGCCGACGTCATCCTAAGAGTAGGGGTCTCGTATTTTAACCTCATGGTCAAAACCCTGTCCCCTAAACTTCTCACTCTTAGAAGCCATATTGAGCCGTATTGGGGGTTTCTTCGTGGACGTTGAGATCGTTTGTGCGGCCTTCTTCGTGGCCGGCGCAATCGGCCGAGGCCGCAAAAGGGTGTTCTTTCGGAAAAGGAACGAAAACCAAACCGTACACGGTTCAGCACGCCAAGCACGCTTGTGACAAGCGCAGTGGGCGGCGGACCGATTGCATTCCGCCACATTTGAAAACTCCGGGGGCCTCATAAAGGGGGCCTATTTGAGGCATCTTCTGCCTGTTCCCGAGCCTCGAAATTTCAACTCGAGCTCCCCATCTTGAGGCCCTCTTGGGGCCCTCCTTGGCCGTCTTGGGTCCCATGGCCGTCTTGGGATCTTCGGCCGACAGGCGTACGAACCGATCAGCGACCGAGCAGCCGACCAGCCGATCAGCGGCCGAGAATGCAGAACAGCAGATCAGCCGATCAGCGGCCGATCAGCTGATCAGCCGATCAGCGGCCGAGCAGCCGATCAGCCGATGAGATTGTTCTGCTGATTGGTTGATCGGCTGATCGGTTGCTCGGTCGCTGATGGGCTAATCGGCTGACCTGCTGGGTTCGGGCGGCACCCCAGGGCGCCGTCTCCCTGGCTGTCTGTCATCTTTTTCAAATGGAGCATGCTTTCTGCAATGGGGCAGGCTTTCCAACAGCATCGACGACGTGCCCCAGTCGTCGGTTTTCCGTTGCAAGGAGTGCACAAAGGGCAGCAGTCATGCGAAGTCGACAAATGCAGAACATGGTACTCATGTCGACCGTCTCCTTCATAACAGGTTGCCCAAGTCGTTTCCCTCCTTGTGAGAAGCTTCCCAAACTGCCCACGTGCAGAAAGCATGCCGACGTCGACGCAAGTCACATACATGTGTATTATGATCGACTTCAGACAAGGTCACCCAGAGTTCAAGTCGTCGGCCTCCTTTTGAATAGGCTTGCACAAGTCAGCATGAAGACCCAAGTCGCCTAAAGGAAAAGGATTGCCCAGGTCGACCGTTCCTTTAGACCTGGTTGCCTAAGTCTTCGATTGCCTAGTGAAAAGCTTGGCCGATTGCAGAAAGCATGCCCAAGTCGACAAAAGCAAAGGTTGCCGTTTTTTTGGTTTTGCGCATCGACACTTGCAATCATAATGCGAATCGAAACGCGGTCCTGTATGCACGTCAAGTTGTAATCGAAACGCATACGTATCGAAATGCACACATACATAGTTACAATTAGCAATGCAAATCCAGTTGCAAGCGATATTAACGTCGACTTGCAAACCCAAGCTCAATCAGACTGCAGGTCGAAGCGCAACCCGACACGCGCGTCACCTTGCAATCGAAATGCACATCGGAATGCAAGCCGACATGCATCGCAATGCAAATCCTGCTGCAATTGAAATGCAAGGTGAAGTGCAGGCCAGCGTGACAACTCAAATGCAGCCGAAATGCACATCGAATGCGTGTCCACATACAAGACGACATGTAACACGAAATGCAAGTTCTCTGGGCCCCAACCCTCTCTGTATCACCCGAACGGGGGTCTATGAGGTGCAACTGATACCGGGATAGCGTCTGAGTATAAGCGGTTGAGTGCGCGAGAGTCGGAATTTGAATCGTATTGAATGTTCAGTATGAAAGTCATCTCGGGTATGAGCGATATTGAAGGGGCGGGACGGATAAATGGAGGCGGAGGCGTGACGCCAACGACACATTCATATGATGGAATATCGGAGAGAAACGTAGGAAACACAACATGCCACTGCCCTCCCAGAGAAGTAGGGTGAAGAGGGAAGGGAAGATACCAGTGCGCGCGTTTGTATGTTGAGTTGGGCCCCCCACATTGACAGGTCCATCGGGTGATCGCCTTAATGGGTTGCTGGGGTCTTAGTGGCTCTTAGAGACCTCCAGGCTCCCTGGCAGCGCTTAGCTCAGTGGGACCAGCTGGCTGGAAGCCGCGTGGGCGCACGTGCGCCGCCCCTGGTGGGTCCACCTCCGAGTGCGTGCCGCCAAGGCTACAGTCGGATCGGGCACCCTGATGTTCTTCCTGTGTGTTGGATCTGTTCCAGGTCCGACTGTAGTGCCCTCCAATCGCGTCAGGGATATCTGGCCGCCGCCTCGGCGCGGGCGCGCCACGGGGCATGCGAGTTCTCATCGCGGAGCGGCCGTCGCTCTGCAGCGCGCCCTGCCCGCCAGAAATGGACGAAGAACATGGCCTACGGGAAGATGAAGTTCAGGTTCACGTCCAGGCACTTCACCGACGACCTCAACATGATCGGTCACGGCCTTGGGATCGCGGCCGTGGCCTCGTCTCATTTGACCCGTCCTTGCAGCCAGGCAGTCAAGGAGGCGCTGTGGGGGTCCTTTTTGAGCAGGGTCCGTGTGTCCATAATTGGCTGTTGTTCTTCAGGAGATTGGTACTACGCGGATGACCACTCAAAGGGAGAAAGAGAGAGACATATATGTATGGCAGGGGGGCTCCCAAGATCCACCTTTGGGGCTCTCCCGCTTGGCTTTTATTTAGTTGCTGCTGCTCGGACGCAAAGAGCCACGGTGATTCTTGGCGACTGACAGTTTGTTTGTGTTTGAAGCCTTCAACAAGTGGAGTCCTATTGTAATCCTCCTCAGAAGGAATCCGATTGTATTCCCCGCCATAAAGAATCACTTTGTAGTCCCCATCAGAAGGAATCCTAGTGTAATACGGTTTGAAGAGAATCCTATTAGAACCGCCACGAAAGGAATCCTATTGTAATTATCCACAAAAGGAATCCTAATGTAATCCCCCAAATAAGGAATCCTCTTGTAATCCTCCACACAAGGAATCCTAATGTAGTAATCCACAAAAGGAATCCGACTGAAATCCTCCAGCGAAGGAATCCTTTTGTAATCCTCCACACAAGGAATCCTAGTGTAATCCTCGACAAAAAGAATCCTATTGTAATCCTCAATAAAAGGAATCCGAGCGCAATCCTCCACAAAAAGGAATCCTATTGTAATCTTGAAATCAAATTCCCAAGTACCTAAGCTATAGTTACCTAACAGCGAAGACTGATAGGTTTCTAGTTGACTCAAAAGAGCTCACAGATCACTCCACAGGGGGGTCCGGGCAGGTGTTGGGGAGTTGCCGGGCGGCAGGGTGCCGGGCTCGTTTTTCACCAACAGTCACACACTTCGTGCTCTTCGACTTCCCAGAACTCCATTCCCAGGCCATTCTGAATACCCGGATGCAACAGTCACACACTTCGTGCTCTTCGAGATCCCAGAACGCCATTCCCGGGCCACATTTAGAATAACCGGATGCAACAGTCACACACTTCGTGCTCTTCGACATCCCAGAACTCCATTCCCGGGCCACATTCTGGAGGGCCGGATGCAACAGTCACACACTTCGTGCTCTTCGAGTTCCCAGAATTCCATTCCCGGGCCACATTTTGGATGCCCGGAGCCAACTGTAGGCCACTTCCTGGTCTTCGAGTTCCCAGAACTCCATTCCCGGGCCACATTTTGAATAGCCAGACGCTTCGTAGTCCTTCCGCCACAGCCGTGTTTGGTTCAGGAATTGCTAGTGACACTGCAGTCCACTGCATTCAATCGTGCCACTGCATTCACTCACTGCAGTCCACTCAGTTTCGATTGCAATGGCGTTCCCCTGGCCGTACCCCCATACCCAACGTTCATCCGCAGCCTCTGCTCCGCGAGGCTCGTCCGAAGTGTCGCCGCCTCGCGGTGCTTCTCAGCCTGCGCCGCCTCGCGGTGCTTCTCAGCCTGCGGAGGAAGGTGGACAGACGCCTGGCTCTGGCGCTGTGCAGCCTGCGTCTTTCACGGTCGCCTCGTTCAATTTCGGGTTCGAGCAGGGCATGATGACTGGTAAGCAGGCGGCCACTCACTGCGCTAACTTCGGAAGGGTGTGCGCCACGATAGTGGACACCGCTGATGCTGATATTGTCTGTGGCTGCGAGGTCGGTGCGTTCCGTGAAGGCTTTCGCCGAGCAGGGATCAACGTGACAGAGATCCTCAGTAAGCCTTTCGGTGATGGCATTCGCTTCTTGGAGGTCGACAACTACTTGACTCTCTGGGGGTTCCGCGGTGCTTCTCAGCCTGCGGAACTGACTCTGTGCGAAGACAGCAAAGTTTACAGGCCTCCTAGCGGCCGAGAGATTGATGCTGTTATTTCACATTTTGAGGTAACAAACCAGGCCATGACAAGTTCCACGTGGTGATCGCCAACATGCACATCGTGTGCGGCAAGAAACCGCCGACCATCCAGACTCGAAAGCGGACAGTTCGCCATCTCCGCTTGCACCTGGACTGCCTGGCCAAGATTCTTGAGAATCTGAGCCAGGCAGTCGTTCTGCTTGTAGTCGGCGACGACAACCTCACTTTCCAGGAGGCGCGGGAGGCTTACCAGCGCCAGCAGAACGACGAGAAGCTCTGGGAGGTCCATGCCACTCCGGCCGACCTCAAAGGCGACCACGTCGCGGTCTGCGGAGCAGTCGCCCGTTTCTGCTCCATTGCCGTTGGCGCGTCTTTTACGGATCGTGGCATGCGCAACGACGCACACGATGCGGTGGCGGTTGTGCTCACTCTCCCTGGTGCTATTCAGCCTGGGGAGAGCAAGAGGCGGAAGATTGTCGTCGAAAACGTCTCCGACGCCGACGTCAGCGTACAGGCGGACGCCGAGTCTTCTGTGCATTGGGATCGGTCGCCGAGTTCTACTCCTCCGCTTTCACCGACTTCACCGGGTGATCCCGACTACGTCGAGGATGTCGTTCAGAATCGCGCGAACGACTTGCACAGGGAGCTGAGGCAGCTTTGGGACGACAGGTACGACGAGGAGTACGATCCGAAAGTCCTCCATCATCTCAGTCTCTTGCTTTTCAAAAAGAGGAAGTCCACGGAGCCAGCGGACACTAATCCAGCTGGCGCTCCTCAGCCTGGCTCGGAATATGACACGGCCTTTGCGTCTCAGGAGGAGACTGGCCGAGCCATTCTCTCTGTCCTGAAGCTTCGACATGACTTTCTGCGGAGCAAGAACATCGACGACATGCGCTTCGTTCTCACGGAGCCTGAGCGCCAGGAATTGGTCAGAGTAGCTCGCGACCAGTACGAGCAGTCGCGGCAGCAGCGTGCGCTTCAGGAACGGGATGTCGAAATGGGAAAAGCGAGAGGCAAGTCTGCGCCACAAGGGGGCCATGCGGTTCCGCAGGGTCCTAACAAAGGGCCAGGCGGTAAGAAAGGTTCTCACGGTGCTTCTCAGCCTGCGGGAAAAGGTGGCCAGGCCAAGGTTGCAGGTCTGGGTAGCGTCGCCAAGTTTGTGAAAGACCAGAAGCGTAAGCGGTGGCATCGCCATTTGCAACGTGTGGCTGGTACCAAACAGATCTGGGAGGTGCTGGCCTTCTCAGGGCGCTTCGACGTTGATTGGTTAACGCAAGCGTTGCAAGCTGATCACAGTGAGGGCCGTGATGCAGCAGTTCCCGAGGAAGCTCTGCGGCAACAGCGGCGCCGGCTGCACCACCTGAAGGCCGAGGCCATCGCGCGCTACAACGAGGGGGAGCGGCTTTCCCGCCATCTGTCTGCCCAGGCTGGCCAGCCAAAGCCGAACTTCACGCGCAGGCAGCTGGACGTGTTGCAGATGTTTGAGAGCCGAGCGCTGCTTCAAATCCGCAACCAAGCGATTCTGGCGTTGGGGCACGGCCGTCTGTTCAGGGCCGATGGCGACTACCTGGACATCGGCGGCAGCACGGGCGGTGGCTCCAGGAGCATCATCGATTCTTGGCAGCCGCCGGACTGGCGTGACATCCTCCAAGACGATCAGGACATCTGAGTTTTGCAAGTCTCCCTGCCCGCGGTGCTTCTCAGCCTGCGGTCTGCCGCTCTCCAGCTGCGGTCTCGAGCAGTAGTGTTCGAAAGCGTGCGAGTTCCTGCGGTGCTTCTCAGCCTGCAGGTTTCGCAGCTTGCGCTCTGCAGTACAAGTGCTTTTCAGCATGCGACATCCTGCGGTGCTTCTCAGCCTGCAGGGTTCCCATCGTGCGGTTTGCAATGCATTCCTTTTCAGTATGCGAGTTCCTGCGGTGTTTCTCAGGCTGCAGGGCTCCGAGGCTCTTCGCTTCGATGCCAATGTTTTCAGACACCGTAGCTCCGTTCCGTAAACATCTTCCAAGAACCGCTCGCAACTTTTTGCAGCTGGCGGTCTGCAGACGTAGTCTGTCTCAGCATGCGAGCTCCCGCACGCTTCGCCGGCTTTTGCTGCGCGGACAATTTTCTCACACACGTCAGCGCCGTTTGTAGGCGTCAGAAAAACATGTAGACATTCACGGAGGGCTCAGTCTGTATATCGTCACATCATTACATACGCAGTCGTCGAACACATCGGTGTACATTCAGCGCTTTGTCCTTCTAGCTGGGTCGCTTCGTGCTGAGGCTGAGGCTGATGCAGGCTGAGGCTGAGGCAGGCTGAGGCTGAGGCCGAGGCTGAAGGCAGACTGAGGCTGAGGCTGAAGCAGGTTGTTTTTTTTTTTTAGTTTTTTTTTTTTTTTTTTTTTTTTGATTTTTTTTGTTTTTTTGTTGTTTTGTGTTTTTTTTTTTTTTTTCTTGATTTTTTTTGCTTTTTTTTTTTATTGTGAGGCTGAGGCTGAGGCAGGCTGAGGCTGAGGCTGAAGCAGGCTGATGCTGAGGCAGGCTGAGGCTGAGGCTGAGGCTGATGCAGGTTGAGGCTGATGCAGGTTGAGGCTGAGGCCGAGGCTGAAGGCAGACTGAGGCTGAGGCTGAAGCAGGCTGAGGCTGAGGCTGAGGCTGAGGCAGGCTGAGGCTGAGGCAGGCTGAGGCTGAGGCTGAGGCAGGCTGAGGCTGAGGCTGTGACTGCGACTGCCGTTGCCACTGCGACTGTCATCGCGAATGCGACTACGACTGCGAGAACAGCAGAATTCGACAACTGGATTCTCATCTGAATCTTAAGGGGAATGCTTCCAGATATGCCCCTACACATCGCTGTTAGGTTGCTTTGCCGGGATATTTTTTGTTGTTTTTTGTTGTTTTTTGTTCCTCGCCCTGGCTTCTGCTTTGCAGGCTATAGGAAGCTCTGATCCCAGGATTTCCAAACATGTTTTGTTTTGCTTCCCGCCTTTGTCTTTGCTGTCCAGGCACAGGAAAGCTCGGGGCCGATGAAGGCACGCGAATCAATTTCCATGGACACGCATTTCAAAACACGTTCCATCGGCCCCGAGCTCCCCTGTGCCTGGACAGCAAAACCAACGGCGGGAAACAAAAAAACACAACTTTTTGTAAATCCTGGGGCCAGGGCTTCCTATAGCCTGCACAGCAAAAGCCAGGGCGAGGAAC